CCAATACGGTTAAGGGTTTAAAGATCTCAGGCTCATGGTGGTCCTGTCAGAGCTAAATTTCATATGTACAGTGTCTAACAATGTTGCCATAATCTGGCAGACTAAACATATGCTCTCTAAACATAACGACCCATTTGCATTTCTTTTTCTTTCTGTTCACTACTTGCTTTCATTTCACACATTACATGCATTCTTATTACATGTTCACCCAACGAACCCAACAGCTTATCTTGGTAGTTTTTAAAACACTTCCACAATGGACTGACACTCGTCGATTTCCAAAGGAAGCGTAAAGCAATCGTAAGCGTGAAAACAAAAAAAGAACTTGAAACAGGTTTCCAGGTCACAGAAATGCCGCGCATTCCACACACGTGCGTTATACGCTTTGCCCCGTAGAGCAGAAATACACACTGCACATTGGCCAAAAGCGAGACTCTGAATTACGTTTTTCCCTCAATGTTGCATATTTTGCGTAAGATCAACAAGTTAAGGGGTGTCCAAACAGGACACTACAAAACTCACGACTCCGGCAAATCGTGCCGCGCTCTGCCGCGATCCACTTCCGGCCGTTGGAGGGAAATTTCCCTCCGTCAATTCTTCCCGAAGGGAAACTTCCCTCCGTCAAATCTCCCCCTCACTTCCTCCACGGCGGCCTTGCTCTGCTTATCACGTGGGTCCGGAGAGCCACTCACACGCTCTGTTGGCTGTCGTTCAATCGCTCAAGACCTCCGCTCACAATACGGAACCGCATCGGACGCCATCACGACGAAAAAGAATCTCGACAAAAAAAGCAGATCCGAGGCAGGCGAAACGCACCCTTCGCACAGGAATGTCCCAAATCCACCCAAAGCCGGACCTCTTGGCCTTCGAGCCGAGGCGACGGCGGTACGCCAGGGCGTTGGCGAGGTGAGCCAGACGCAGGTGGCGTGTGACGTCAATCTGAAGAGGAGAGCAGTCATGATCGTAAAAATTTTCACGACTCCTGCAAACATTTTCACGACTCCGACAGACCGTAAAAATAGAAGCGTCCGCTTCAATTTTCACAGTTTGCCGGAGTCGTGAGTTTTGTAGTGTCCTGTTTGGACACTCCTTTATAAGGAATTAATCGAGGGCCCTTCAAGGGCCACGTAACCTGAAAAGCGCTCGTTCAGCTTTACCTTTCTCCTTCCTCCTCAAATAAAGAAGATGCAAGGAGGAACTTGCGAACGGGGAACCAAAGCTAGGAAAAGATGATGACAACAAGCATGGAATGGACCAGAATAACTGCATCACACCTTTCTGCCCAAGGTCTAGCAGGCATTGAGGTAACAAAACAGCAAAACAATTGCATTACAAGAAAGGGCGTACTCCAGTTCGCCCTGCCTCTTAAGTTTAGGACAGCTCATCACCTCACGTAAATTTTAATTTCAGAATCTAAGTTGTCGCGCCAAGGGCACGTGGAGCAATTACTTCATTCCTGCACCCCTTTCAAGAGAGCCACAAAACATAGCGCGAAACGGGGCCCTCCAAAAACGGCGCTGGCAGGTAGGCCGGGGGAGAGGATGTATGCTTTCGCAGGGGCTTACCGAAAAGGGGTCCATTGATCCTTGCGCGCGTGACTCTTGAGGCGAGCGTGCAGCGAGCACTTGCGTTCAAATGCATCCAGGCACAGGTGGCACGGAAAGAGTTGCTCACCGGCATGAATCCACAAGTGGCGCTGGAGGTGCGGCTCGTCCTTGAACCGGGCGGAACACACGTCGCACTGGTACGGCTTGGCGCTGTAGTGGCACCGCACGTGCTTGAAGAGCGAGCCGTGCTCCGAGAACTTCTCCCCGCACGTGCCGCACTGCAGCCACGGCGGCTTGGCGTGGTGCAGACGGTGGCGCGTCATGCTGTTCTCGTTGTGGAAGGACAAGGCGCAGTCGTCGCAGCGAAAGGTGCGGAAGCCTTTCGGCTGCCTCGAGGTCGTGTGCGTGAGCGTCTCCGATGGGTTCTCGTTCGTCGTTGGCTGGGAAGGGGCGGGAGAGGGAGAGGGAAAAGATAAAGCTGTGATGAGTACAGAGTTGGAAGGCAGTCAAACTGGCAGTTTCATTGAAGCATTTTGACGCATAAAAAAAAAAAAACACAGTAAACGACTCTTTTTTTGCGAGGACCCAATTTTCGCGAGTTTTTCCTAAACGATGTCGCGAAAAATAAATCGGGCAAACACAAACTTCATGGAATGAATATGCGGCATATCAAACTCGATCGCAAAATTTTGTGCCTGTGAAATATTTTCACATTTTACTTTGTAAAATATTGAGCATGCCAAAGTCATTCAGTAAGAAAAAGGTTACAGCACTCAGAATAATGCAGTTCATTCTGTGGTACCATATATTACAGTTGTTGACGTTTGCCCATTTCACAAGGTTTGCAATTGTAAATGTTTACGAGGCCATCTTATTTCAATGCCAGCTTATCACTCTTGCGTCAACAATCAACATGAGCTTCCCCTTTGTTACGCAAACTCCTCCTCTTGTTCATTTATTCCATACACATCAGCTAGGATCACCATCCCGTAAACAATGTATTTAGATCCAATTATATCCTTCTGTGGCAACCCTTGTTCACATGTTCTTAAGACCATTCTGCACATGTTACCCGCTTTTATTTTACGCTCTCTTGCACATAATTTCTATCATTTGCTAATCACTACATGTATTTTAATGTTTATATACTTTAACTTTAAAAATATGCTTTGGCCCATGTAAGCACAATAAACAAATACACAAATACCACACCAATTTGCACAATGAACACTCAAGCTATATCGAAAGCCACCCAGCTATCAAAGTCCATCTAAACACATATGACTCATATTCTCAGATGGCTTCGAAGAACACTTAATCCCTGAGTGTGCAAGTAAAAAGCCAGAATAGTCAGGACTATGGCATTCAGTTGGTCACCCCAAGTCCATTTCATCGACACAGACTACCTCATAACCCCAAGTAAAACGTGAAAATAAAAAAGAAACAGGACTCCTCAAATAATTTTAGTACCAGGAAGTTTTGCAAAACATTGGTTTATGTTTTTCACTGTAAAAAAAATCCTGCTGACACACCCCAAAAAAAACGAGTAAACAGAACTATGCCCAAGTGAAACATTCCCATTTTATTGGCCTCTGGGTAAGTGCTTAAACAGAAATTGCGTGCTCCAATCGGAACCAATATAAAACCATAAGTGTCTGTAGCACGAAACCTTGCTCTGTACCACTTTATGTGCAGGTCTATGTAATACAAAGGAATGACGGCTAAAAAAAGGGCCATTTTCTTACCTTTTTTTAGTATTCGCAGCTTGGAATAAATGAAGAGAATTACACCTTATATCTCTACCCTATGTCTACCTGACACTTTCATACCAAAAAACAAAACAATATTATTGCAAAACAGGGTGGATTCAAGCTCACCCTCCCACCAAAAGGCAAGTTTAGAACCAGCTCACCATCTCATAAACAAAACTTTTGGATTTTCTGTTCCAAGCCATCGTGGCAAGTGCACGCCGTGCGATATTGCGTTTGTGCACCAACTCTGGTACAGGCTTAAAAAAAAAAAGGGTACAAAGAAAGCAAAAATTGATTGTCTCTTTGGCATTTCCCCAAGGTGTTCTAAATGTAGACATTTATAGTGCCGAGCCTCTCCGTTCGTATGTCACCTTGCGTCACATGAACACCATGATGTCAAACTGTCCCACGACGTCGTGGCGTCCCGTCGAGTCACGAAAAGTCGCATACAACCTGTATTACTATGAACTTAGACCCTATCAGCCTCATCTCTGGCCACATATTCACCCGTCCAGTATGGATGACGAGAAAAATGTCACAACATGGAATGAGTAAAAAAAATACAGGAGGCAAGACAAGAAGGATTGACATTTGTAATAAAAATGTGAAACCCCCCCCCCCCCCTTCATTCATTGCGTGGGAAAGAAAAGAAACAGACATTACCCCCCAATACTGCCGGGCATCCGAATTAGCGGCCAGGCTTTTGAAACAGACTGCAAAATTCGATTTCTTAACCTATCGCTCTACGACTTTGTGCAGCGTTGCCCACGGATGGCGCATTTGTTTTTTGTAAAATTGCAAAGAGCGAACTCACCTGAGGAAAAAGTAAAGAAAGAAAACGGCTTAGCTACTATAGAAACGCAGCGAAGTCACGGGTCTTCAAACAATACGGCGCCGTTTCGCACAAGGGACAAGAGATGGCGCAAGCGGTCGCGACGCCAACTGCTGCCAACGAACGAGCACACAGTGCCAAGAGCCGGTGTCATTAGCGGACAATTTTTTCTACTCAAAAGTGGCGAGTTTTTTTTTTATATCAGTTGCCAATGCATTATTTTATCAACCTTACTAATAAGACAGATTGAATAGACATATGATCAATTAAAAAATGATTTGTCAGGATATCTGGACCATTTTTTTTTTGTTTTTTTTCGGGGTACTGATGTTGCCTGCTTTGCAGTTCCTTGTTGTTACCACGCGTGTTTCTAGTTCTGCGACTGTCGCTGTCTGCAAAACGCGGGCCGCTTTTGAGTCGAAAAGATTGTCTGCTAATGACGCCAGCTCTCGGTGCCGTATGCTCGTTCGTTGGCAGCAGTTGGTGTTGCAGCTGCTTGCGCCATCTCTTGTCTCCCGTGCCAAATGACGCCGTATTGTTTGAAAACCGGTGGCTTTGCTGCGTTTCCATAGGAGTTAAGACTTTCTTTCTTTACTTTTTCCTCAGGTTTACAAAAAAATATGCACCATCAGAGGGCAACACAGCACAAAATCGTAGAGCGATAGGCTAAGAAACCGAATTTTGTGGTAGATTTAAAGAGCCTGGACGCTATAGGAGAACCCTGGCAGAGGTGCCACGATTCAAGATGGAGACAACTACACGGAAGAGGTTCGTACAACTCCTCATTCAGAGTGCCTTTGGGATCATGTCACGGTGTCACGAGATCATGTCACGGTATCACGCCGCCAGATGCTGCAGACAGTCGAACTGCTACTTGCGCTTGTGAGTCTTGAGGTGCTTCTGCAAAATGCTCTTGCGGACGAACATGAACGGGCACAGGTGGCACGCAAACGGCTTCTCCCCTGTGTGCCTCTTGGCGTGGTTGAGCAGCGTGGACCTTTTGCCAAACGTCAAGCCGCACACTCCGCAGGCGAACGGCCGCTCCCCCGTGTGGGTCCGCAGGTGGTCCCTGATGTGTCCCATGCTCCCGAACCGTGCCAGGCACACCTCGCACTGGAACGGCTTCGGTACGACGTGAGACTCTAGGTGCACGTCCAGCAGGTCCAGGCCGGGCAACTCCTCCTCGCACACGTGGCACTGCAGAAGCTTCACTCTCGCGTGGTCTTTGCCGTGGTGCAGCAGGGTGTTCTCATTGTGGGTCCCGTAGCCACAAACGTTGCAGCGGAGGATGCGGATGCCTGTCGGCTGCCTCGAGGTCCCGTCTTCGGGGATGTCGTCGTCTTGTTCGTTGTCAGCTGGAAGGGGGATGGGAGATGGGGAGGGAAGATGGAAGCTGCGATGAAATCAAAGGCCAGTTACAGTGTCATTGAAACTGCAGCATATTGACGCTAGAAACTTGCTGCGGCTAGTGATCTGAGCAGGGTTGCAACTGCAGTATGCTATGGTGGTTAGCGGGCTAAAGTGATAAAGTGAGTAACATCCTTCGTGCAAATAATCCGAGTCTGGTAAGGTAGCGCGGCCTTTCGGGGCCTGGGCTGAGCCAGGGTGTCTACCGAAATCCTATTCTCGTTCCCCAAGCTGGGCTTAAACAGTGGTGCTGTGCACCTTCCAAAGGCCGATTCTCAGGTTCGCGTTGCAACCACTTCGCAATCAAAGAATGCGCCATCAGGCTGGCACCACTAATTGAATGGCCTCGAAACATTTGCCGCCTGTTTAACTAGATGCAAGGTTTTGCAGCACTCTGTTCACACGATTCTAACGCGAACTTTCTTTTCGCCAAAATCGGTGCCCAAAAATACATGCGAGTTACAATCTAAACTAAAAACCGAAACTCAAAAGAAAAACACAATACTCGGTATAAGGTGGCTGGCCCCATCGCCGTTGTGATTGATTGTTTACATCTGACCATTTTGGTAACCGTATCACACTCATTCTCTCGTGCCTACGGGCTCGAGTCTGCTGTTTTCAGGTGAAAAAACGAAAAGAAATTCCAGAAGGAAGTTTTACTTAAACGAAAGGTCATCACGCTGGCAAGAAAAGATAACGGAGCAGCACTGCATGGCCTTGCAATCCCAGCGACCCCACAAGCTCGCAAAGCATTGCTTGGAAGACTACCCTCCCAGAGGCGTGCGCCAACACAGGTAGCGCACTTGTACAAGTGCAAGCATGGCATCTAAAACGCTTTAGGCGAAAGCAACTATTACCTCTGTGGACAACAAAGAACCATCGTTGGACCCCGACAACAGCGACCAGTGTATGGTATTTTTTTGTGTTGGCGCACGTTTCATAAAGTCTGCTCTACGAGGTATGTGTCCAACCTTCGTTATTTTACCTGCGCAATAAAATCCGCAGCAATTTACTTTTTGAATATCTGGGAGCTAAACCTGCCTGCGCGTGAGAATGGGGGGCACATTAGAATTGTGCAGACATGGTATTAGAGTTGAAATCCACACAGAGTCTATGAGAAACGATCTCCTATACAACAGTGTCAGAACTATACCAAGCACACGGCGAAAGGATATGTGTAGTCGAAATTGTTCCAGAGCCATCCAATAGATGGCAACCTGCACGTCCGTTTGTGGTGTGCGCTCACAAGCAGTTGCACCGCAGTCAATCACACCCGTGGCTCAATTATGTAAACCAATCTTAGAGACGTGGAGACGAAATATCCGAAAGCACAGACCTTCAACGAAATGCAAACAGACAACAACGTTATCGAAGAAACCTCTGCAACTCGCGAAGAGCGAGAGAATAGAGTGGTCCAAGTGCTTCCCTCAAGGACATGAGATAGGGTGTAGCGGAAAAACGGGTGCAATTGGTCACAAAATACATAACAAAGCAATGAAACAATAATAAAAAAAAGAAAAAAAAAGAACTACAGTTGCAGACAGGGTGTTTCGCCGCAAGCAAGCGCTTTCCATCTGCGACGACGCCTCAGCGTCTGGTAAGACACGGGCGTGCACATGCAGCCAAAGGGTGGCGAAGGGCAACGGGCGAGTGCTTGAAGCCGGGCGTTCGAAAAAGATGCTCCGCTGTTCCTACTTTGTCGGCAACTATGGTATATGCCCCAGATGCATTTGTAAGGGGTAGTGCACCCTTTTGAGAGTGCACTAGTGGCGTTAGTGGTCGCGAGTTGCCCTTCTCTTGTGCACTTAAACGCCACAGCTACTCCACCCGACATAATTTCTGCAGCGTCAAACCATAGCGTTTTCGTTCCCAATGGCGCATCGGCGGACGTTGCGGCCGAAGGGCTGGAGGCCCCTCGGCCGCGTCGAGGTGGTGCCCTCAACGTGGTCATCGTCAACGTCTTGTTCCTTGTCGGCTGGTTGAGGAAACAGAAAAGTCAAAGTGCATTGAGCATGACTTTAGGTTTCTGCATATACAGAGAAAAAATTCTAGGTGGTGAGGATTTGAATGAAGACATAGTCATCCTCATTTCTTTTGATCAACACAGACTTCCCCTTACAACCGCGAGCGACATGAAAAATATAAATACCTGGAGGTATGCGAATAATATCAAATTTTTGCATGTAAATCTAATACGAATACAAAAGTTTATTTACAAATCTTGTTATTTTCGAATGCTAATAATTTACACTTTATGCGAATTTAATATGGATAAAGAAATCACTTTTCGAAATATTTTCTAGGAAGCGTACCAATGAAAAAAAAAATATTTTCTATCGTAGGAAAAATTTAACGTGCTTGTAATCTGGAAAAAGAAAAGAATTGAATTCAACTTAATGTACCATTGCAAGCAAACTCAAGTCTACCCTATTTAGTTGAAACTTTGAAAATCTTCGCACCAGCTTGATAGGCAATACATATCCTATCTGGACCCAAACTTAAATACTCCAAACTGTAAACATGCGATGCAAACTAAGTAGCAAATACTACTCGCCAATTATTCAAAGTTCTAATATTTTCGCACCTCTACTATTTTTATGGCAGAAACTGGGGCACTACATGCAAAAGAAAAAAAATGCATAGTCACACAGAACTACATCCAGTAGAAGGATACCGCTTTATTGTACTTCAAATGAGTGTTGAAACAAAAACTGTGTGCACAGATAAAAAAAAGTAAAAGAACAGTGTTTAAATTTACTCTAAACCTTGTTATGCATAGCTTCATGCGATAGCAAGGAATCAGCAGCTTAAAGGAAACCGTTTCCCCATCCCATTTTTCTCATGGCAGGCAACACCGAAATTCTGGGCATGTGGCGGTAACAGTAATAAATTCAGGCACTGCCAAATTATAGCAAGGGGTGGAGTAAAGCTTTTTGGTATGCACACCAAAAGCCACTGTGCAAAAGCAAGTTTCATGTGAATGCAAATGAGGGAAGCAAACAGAATCAGGCAGCACCTGTCATTGAATTTAGCTTGATGGCAGCTTGGATAGTCCAATTAAAGAAACTGAAACAATAGCCTGACTCTTGATATCCAAAGACAGCATAAAGCGATCCTAAGCATGAAAAAAATGAAAGAAAAAAAGAGCTCAACACAGGTTAAAAGGTCACGGAGGTGCAGCATGTTCCGCACACATTATGTTTTACCCCAAGGCAGCAGTACACCTGACATACCAATCAAATGCAAGCACATCATGAGTTTCAATTTCTTCAGCTGTCTACTTCTAACATAACTAGTCATGTGCAAATAGTGTTTTTGTGTTTGAAGCGAATTCGAAGCAAATAGTGATTTTGGCCAAATATATTCCAATTGAAAATTCAATAGTTTCTCCAAGCCTGCAAAATGTAGAACTGAAAACCCCGATGAATCCGTGGAAGTTGCTGCCATGCTTCCCCTTGTCTGTGCCTAAGCTAATTTTAATCTAATTATATTTATTGACTACGGCCTCCAAGAAAAAACGGTTAGGGCACAGGTGAGCTGGTGTAGGTTTTTCCATTTTGTTAGACCACCGAGACTGGGTGGAAGAAACACAACGACGTTTCAATCTTGATTGAGACGTCGTCGTGTTTCTTGCACCCAGTCTCAGGTGGTCTAACGAAATGATGGGCCTCCAAGAGACAAATTCCCACATTAGGATGGCAAGTAAACAATACATTTGACATAACATTACCCCTATGGAGATGCCCGGCTATACATAGTCAAGTGTTCATTAATCCTGTACGATTAACACAAATCAGGGCTTCTCTGCTTAATGTATGCATATGCACGCCAGTCTAATCTTGAAAATTTTACTGTAATGTAGATATCAACATTCAAAAAGTTTTGATTTATCTCTAAATAGAACAGGCGTTCGCGCGCACCATCTCGCTTTGGAAATGAGCTTTCCTCCCAGGCATGCGGCTGTAATGTTTATACTTTACCGAGTGTTGATTGCAGCAGGTTGGCCCCGTTGAGTGCGCTTATCATGCATTGATACACTGCAGAGAAGCCACACCCACTGAAGCAAGCTCCGCGGGTGTTGCTTCATTGCAGTGCACCGGTGCTTGGTAAGTAATGCACTAAGTGGAGCGATCAACACTGAAAAATATAAATATTGCACTTCATCTTAAAGTGAATATTGAGTAGTGTAATATTCGAAACTATTATTCGAAAATTCAAATACCAGACAACTGCTGGAAGTTATGAAAAAAAATAAAAAAAGCACTGCCACATTTTTTTTTTTTTTTTCCTTAACTTTTTTTTGCTTTGAGAAGGTGGAAGAAGGAAGTACTTAGGAAGGAGATGAAGCTTTGAATTTATAAAGGTAACGAGATAACGAGCCTGCAAGAGGTGAAGATAATTACACAACATCTTTCCAACCCAAGCCTCCTAGACACTTCCATAACAAAATAATCTTTACAAAAAAGGCGCATTCAAAGTTCTTCGTCGCTCGGAAGGTAATAGTTTCGAACAGCTTACCGCCTCGGATGAATTCTACTGCCGAATCTTTCGCACCAAGATGCCGCGGCAAGCGCGCGCCGTGCGACACCGTGTTCTTGCACTGACCCCAGTACAAACTCAAAAAATGCAGACGGCACAAAAAAGAAAGAAATAAAAAAAAACAAGAAGTCTGCCATGCCGCCGGACACTGCAGACGCTCGAACCGTTACTTGCTCTCGTGCGTCTGGAGGTGCTTCTGCAGCGAGATATTGCGCAAGAACGTCTCTGGGCACAGGTGGCACGCAAACGGCTTCTCCCCCGTGTGCCTCATGGTGTGAGTGGCCAGGGTGGTCTTGTGGCGGAACTTCTCGCCGCAGACGCCGCAGGTGAACGGCCGCTCCCTGGTGTGTGTCCGCACGTGGTCCCTGAGATGCCCCTTGCTCCGGAAACGCAGGAGGCACATGTCGCACTGGTAGGGCCGGTTGGTGACGTGCGTCGACACGTGTGCGTTGAGCAGGGAGGGCTCCGAGAACTCTTCGTGGCACACGTGGCACTGCAGGGGCCCCACCCCGGCGTGGTATCTCCGGTGGCGCATCATGATGTTCTCGTTCTGGCTGGCGTAGTCGCAGACTTCGCAGACGAAGGTGCGGATCAGCTTCAGCTGTGGCCCGGCCTCGTCCTTCTCCTCATCCTGTTCTTCCTCGGCTGTTCAGAGGAAAGACGAAGGTCGAGTGAGTCGAAACTTCCGCACGGTACGATGTACGGTGCTAAGCTGGCGGTTACCTAGAGGCACCTCGACATCCGACACTTCGACGAACTTATTTTCATTTGATTTATTTCAATAACCTTAAAGGGACCATGAAATTACCTTTTTACTTTTGTACAAATAAGTTTTACATTAAACCTTCCATGTTCACTTAACGCCGAACAGGAATCCGTTTTCGTTTACTAACTTCTACACAAATTATTGAAATATAGAGTTTTTCTTTCTCTCCAACTCGCTGCAAAGCAAGCTGCGGCATAAAGTGCTGCAAAGCGGGCACTATAAGATGAACTCTTAAAACTTGGCAGGTATGCAATTAAGTTTCCCTGCTAAATTTAGCGGGGAAAATGATTTCACGAATTCGTGTCACGTCACTCATGAACAAATTCAGCAGCAGGAGAGGGAGAAGAAGAAAAAAGGAGGAGGAGGAGGGGAGGGAGAGGGGATGAGGGAGAGGGGCATACCTTCCCCTCCCCCTCCTCAAGAGCTGCTCTCTAGTTTCGCATTATGGAGATTTGTAACAATCTTTCATTTTTCACTGAAATAATGCCTCATTGCCATCAATATATATTGTTATCTAGATGACAAGAAATTTTTTATCATTGATTTTTTTAGAGCACAGCTTTTAGGCACCCGTTTCCAGCTTGAGCAACGTCGGCGATGCCGTCAGCGTAACCACGCGGTGCATTATGGGAAACATCCCACAATGCACCGCGGTGATGCGCATGTTGCATTATGGGACGTTTCCCATAATGCACTGTGCGGGAGGGAGGAGGATGGAGAGGAGGATGAGGGAGGAGGAGATGAGAGGAGGAGGAAGAGGATGAGGGAGGAGGAGACGAGAGGAGGAGGAAGAGGGGAGGAGGCAAAGATCACAGAAGGAGTAGATGAGGAGAGAAGAGAGGGTATGGATGAGGAAGAGGGGCATACCATCCCCTTCGTACCATCCCCTCCTCAAGAGCTGCGCTCTTATTCAACATAACAAAAAAGACTTTTTTTTTTTTTTTTTTTTCATTTTTCAAATACAATATACAAAATAAGTTTGGGAGCATAACGTTAACTGAACAAAGATGAAAGACGTTTACAACTTCCTGTAACACCGATTTAGAGCGTAGCTTTGGGAAGGAGGGGAGGGTAGGCCTCTCCTCCTATAGACCTTTTTCGCAAAGGCGCCACCATCTTAAATTGTCGTCACTTCCAGTATGGGCGAAAACATTGTTTTGCCGTCGCCACGCCAACAGAAGACATTTCGGACATAAACGTAACCGTCACACATTCTCGTTTTGCCTCCCCTCTATTTTTTTTACTATCTGTGGGTTGAAACGTCTTGATATTTTTTCGTCGCCCATACCGGATATGCCCACTTGAAGTGGAAAAGGTCTATACCATACACTCTCCCCTCCCCTCCTTCTTTTCCGCGCGAAACGCACATCGTCACGCGATGTTTCGGCATGGTGCCAAAACGTCACGTAATGTTTCAGTGGAAGTCACGGTGATGTTTTGGCACGTGTCCCATAATGCATTGCGTGGTGACGTCGATGGCGAGGCCGCTCAAGCCGGAGACGGGTGCCTAAGAGCTGCGCTCCAAAAGCTAAAAGCATCAGTAACTATGTTTTCTTAGTATAAGCCTTTTATCTGGTAATGTTCAATTTTAAGTCTGCACAGCAAAATCTGTTACATTTATTGATTCAAGTATGTTTATTTATAGATTATGTGATAGCTTCTGAATTTTCAAGTTATTTTTTACACCAACAGGTAAATATTTTCCTAGCCACTTTGTTTATCAAAATTTGATATATAAAAATATGTTAAATTAAGCTCGAGTTGAAATTTTCTGGTGTCTCTGCTAATACCGAAGGTCACCACAGTGTAGTTGGCGGAGACCACCAACACCGTCCTGTGTGCCTGGCCAAGACACAGCATAAACGCCGAAACACGAAAATAATAATAAAAAAAAAGAAAAAAAGGGAAGAGACGCATAAAAAAGTTAAGCAACAAAAAAAAAGCTCACTAAATTCAGGCAACCAAAAAAGAAAGGCAAAAAAGAAAAACAAGCAAAGCAATAACGGCAAAAAAAAAAAAAAAAGATAAGGCGTTTAAACTGCAATTGCACAACCGTTGTTGTGGACACTTGACTTGCAGAAAACCGTTTTTTTTTTTTTTTTTTTTTGCTTCTTTTATTTTGGGGCTATGGAGCCCCATAGCATCAGCACTGTTCGGGGAAACGGTGCAGGGTACCCTTCCAACAGCAGACACTCCCTGCTCTCCCTAGGTATGTGGGCGCGCCCTTCCCCTTGCTTTTATTATCCTCCAGTTCTTTTTTTTTTTTTATTACAATTTACTGGTTTTTTTTTGTTTTTTTTTTTACAAATGCTTTTTGGTTGCGTATCTTACCATGTCTATGCTGGCTTGGCGGTCTGCCAACTCCGCAACACAAGTGATGTGCTTGACACCGGTACAATCGGACCCCGTGAGAAGCAACGGGCTTTGCTCGCTATATCGAGTGTCTCCGCCATGGGATTTCGATACAAAAAGACAATGCTCCTATACTTTTACATGGGATTTTCAAGAGAACGTTTGGACTGTTTGATATAAACAATAATATACTTGAGTGTGATATAACCTGGCTCGACTGTATGTGTCAACTGAATAATAAAGAAACACAAGCGTGAAACAAACTTGTGGAAACCCTGATGGTAAATGTCTTCAGCAAGTGTTTTCCCTAGCTCTGAGACAAAACAAAAATACTTAATATACTGAATAGTTTTACAAATAAAGGCACACTGAAGTGTGAAGCCCAACATCTGAACCCCATAGATATACAAAATATGAGCACGATAAAACTAGGCAACAGCACATTGCTTTGCATTTCTTAAATTTTAACAATAAAAATTGCATAATCATCACAACGAAGAAAGTTAAAAGCTATTGAAATTTTACAAAAGAAATTGCGAACCGTTTAGAAAAAAAGTCAGGTTTTTACTGAATTATTAAATGATGCCTAGTTTTCCGCCCATTTTAAGAATTAAATATGATGTCGTGCCATAAAAAATAAATTTTCCTCCTAACATTTATTGCAATAAGGTTAACGACCTCGAGGTAAAAAGCCACGAATTTCTTTTCAAAAATAAAAAAACGGTACAGCGCAATGTCTCGGACGTTTGACGTGAAACAGCGCACTTACGAATATGGCATAAAATAAATTTTTTCGTGACAGCTCCAATCTGCTTTGTCTCACTAGAGGTAAAGCAAGGGGAGGGGAGGGGATGATTGGCAATCTCGTTTAAACAAATCTTTAGGGAAATATTCTTATGATGCTGATAGACTTACGTATATTATTCTTCAAAACAAATGTGTATTTGCCGAAAGGACAAAAACATTTTGTAGGCCCCTTTTGGAACTGTGCAAACTCTTGTGCGCGATTCCGAGCCATGAAGACGCCAAAGGTACTTGCTAGATTCCGACGGGTTTCCAGTGACCGACCGTGCAGCGGCGTCTCGTTGCTTCTCTCGCATTTCCTCCACTCCGCTCGGACCGCTCGGTGGAGCGGTTCCCTCGACCGCCTCCTGGACCCCAATGTGCGACTCGACGTGCTTCTTTAGCGCCAACTTAGTGCCGAATGCCTGCGGGCACATTTGGCAGGTGAAGGCCCTAGCCCCCGTGTGCAACATCATGTGCACGTTCAGGCTGGCCTCCTGCGCAAACGACTTGCAACAGTGTTCGCATGTGAACGGCCGCTCCCCCGTGTGGGTCCGCAGGTGGGCCCTGAAGTTGCGGCATCCCCTGAAGCGCGCCGAGCAGACGCCGCACTGGTACGGCTTGGCGCTGAGGTGCAGCCGCATGTGGCGGCTCAGCGAGGCCAGCTGGTTGAACTCGTCGCTGCACACATGGCAGCGCAGCGGCGGCGGTCCGACGTGGCACAGCCGATGAAGCAACACGTGGTTCTCGTTGTTGTCGTGGAAGTTGCAGAGGTCGCAGCAGAAGGTGTGCATGCCCTCCCTCGGCTGCCTCGAGGTTTTGTCGCCGCTGCTGTCGGTGTCCAGTCCTTGTTCCTCGTCATCTGGGGGGGGTTGGGGAGGAGGGGATGGAGAAGATGGAATGAACACTGGTGAAAGGCAACAACAGTAAAATAACTCACTCAGTTTAGATATTGTCACGGATGAAAAGAATAAAAAATCATAACACTGAAAGTAAAGGTTTAATCGGCATGCCAGAAACAAAAGAAAGAGCGTTGAAACAGCAGCAGTGAACATCGCAGCATCGGTGCAACAGCTAGCTGGAGCGAGGCTGCCAGAGAGAGTGAGTCGGCAAGGTTACGCTTGTCTCAAATATTCAAACTGCAATGTTCAGGAGTGAGCTAGGACGAGTAAGACGCTTCAATGTCATGTTGGCCTCCTTTTTTTCACACAAAGGGGTAAGAGTATATTTGAGTCTTCTAGAAGTAGAGAAGCGTTGCTTTTCGGTCATGCATGCGACAATTTGCAATAAAGGTACAATAGTACCCAGAAGGGCTTATATTTTAATATCGTGTTGCACTTGGGTCAGGCCCATAAATGTGAGCATGTGCAATGCTCTATGTTAAGAACTCTCAGACTAATGGCATGCTCACACAAGGCTCAAAAAGAAGCATTTGGGTGGTAGAGAAAACAAAGGCATCTTTACTTCCTTTTTGGTCTTTCAAAAATGGGATTGTCTGGACCATCAACCCAAGGTGCGGTGGACTATCATGCACCACGAAACAGTAAACAGATTGACATTCTTAACAGAAGTAACACTTTTGCATTGTCAAATAAAAATTATGGCAATTAGAAGCAGCTGAGTTAACTTTGGTACTAGTAGCATAAGTATCACTTTCAAAGGGCACTTCTGCAAGACCGAAGTTTCACAATGGAAGAACACTTCCTAGTATAGCATCGAGGCATTCAAATATCAGCGTATAAGAGATTCACACATAAGCTTCCACATATCGGTGTATTTTATGAAAATCAAAGGTTCACTGTTGCATGCGTATGAACTGCTATCTGATACGACCACTTCACAATCCAAAAACTAGTAATGAGATAGATTTTATCACTTGAAGATCCAATTAGCCCACTCACATCACACATTCATTAAAATAATTTTCAATCCATAGAACTTGACTTCAAAACATTAGCACCTAATCGCATCTAGACAACACAGTTCAGGCAAGGTAACACTTGCCTACTTGCAAAGAAACCATAAAAAACCACAGGCACGAAGCAGTCAAACACAGGACTAAGTAACGGGAGAGCTGGATGTTTGAAGCACACACCTGTAGCAAAAGTAAAAGGAACTTCAAGAGTGTGGAGAGACGTGCGCAACTTTGGAAGTTAACGAAGCTGAGCTATGGCCAAGAATTCTGCCAACTTGTTGAGAGAAATTCGCAGAGCACGTTACCGTTAAATACCGAGCAAACTTCCACCATAAATATAATCAGGACAAAATGGGACATTTGTTACATTCCACAACAGGGAATGAGCAGAAGGATCACATCGTAGGATAGCTCCTTGCCTCATTTCACGGAGCAAGATTCTGGCAGAACCCCCAATTTTAAAGCAGCCGTACAACACTCGTCAAGCCTGCTTCGTGTTGGTGCTCTCGTGTCAAGATTTATCACATTGTACCGGCCTTGTCGAGAGGCAACCGATGCAGAAGAGCATCTTGGTTAGCTTGGTGGGCTGAAAACATTGCTGGGTTGGGCGCTCGACGCATCCTTTGCTTACATTTCAAATGTCGCAAGATGTTTCAAATGCTTACTGCAAAATGACCGCGTGCTCGGTATTTTAGGGTGGCTGAAAACACGAGACTGTTCGAGCTCGTCGAGCGGAAAACAAAAAGGGAACTCGTCGATGCAGACGATGCACTGAAGTCACTGCAGGTCTGGTGGTGAACCATCATATTTTCAGTCTCGGCGGCGTATCCACAGCTCATAGTCACGCTCACTGTTGATGTTTGCAATTTGTCACCTGTCTGGAAGAAAAGAAAGATGAAGGTACAATGGATGCGGGTGCGAGACAGTTTAGTGGCGCACAAAGCAGGGCGCTTCGACGCCACTCCTGGCATTTCACCATCCTACATTTTGATAAAGCAAAGCAAATTGGGTTGTCACTATACCTGTTTTCACCTAGAAAAAAAAGCAAGTTTTGCACATTGTTTGTGCAAAGTTGTTCTCACCGAGATTTGGTTGTCGGAAGAAAAAGCAATGCTTTTGGCGTTTGGAATGTGTAAGTCTTGATAAGATAACATAATGCACTTACATATATTTTAATTATCCACATAAAGGGGGAATTGGCAATGCTCCAAGGAGCCAGACTTCTTTTACTATGGTTCTTGAGGTGAACACAGGTTTAGGTAGCTGCTGTAAAATATGAAAGGTGACATGCAGCAGTCTATAAAGTAGGCAATGTACAAAATCAGTAGACTACATGCATGTTCAAAGGTAGCCTAAAAAGGACCGTTAGGGTGGTGAACAAACCAGAAGTCAAGTTAAAAAGCTTTGGTTACATCATTTTCAATCACCCAACTAGTAGAAAGCTGAACCATCTGGAACACCCACAGAAAGAAGGAGAGTAGTTTTGCACCTCGCATCTGTATTAACCAATGGAAATGACCAAGATTACAAGCAATCAAGCTAATCTTGCAAATTAGCCTGTTTATCACTTACTATATCACCAAAACATAAGTTTCAAAACGCGAAAAGCAACAGTTTCCAGGAGAGCATTGGTGTAGCCTAAATGATAAGCATTGAAAGTAATAACAGAAAAGCTTCCAAGAAACCCAAGTCCTGCTTGTTATATATAATACGTTTGACCACAAGCTTTATCACATAGTACAAAGATAGAAGGTTGCCTGTTGCAATTCAATAAATTCGGTTCTGACCTTTAATCATTTAAATTAAAAGAAAACAAGCCATTAGGATGGATTTTACTGCTTTCTAAAAGCTGATCAGCACACCAACAGACAGGTACAGACAAACTTTGCTCAGGTATGCCATTTTTGTAAATAAGGACAATCTGCAGGGTTCATTATAGAACAGAAATCAAGAAAATAAACCTTTTTCCAGTAAGTTTCTGCGCACGCATACACTCCCGCTGTCGACATTTTTGCAGGACACCGGGACGCGGTGCCCTGCAAAAATGGCGACAGCAACATTGTCAGCATCTATCTTCGTGCATATTTAGTCCATTTCAACACTTCGTTTTTTAGCATCGGTAGTATGAGGTATAAAAAGCACTGAAAACCGATACAATGACACGATGCCAATGTGTTTTGACAAGCAGAGGCATGTTGGGCTGCTCTTCTATTGTAGTCCGCAGACAGCTCCCCAGACGGCGCTCGTTACTTGAAAAAGGTCCATTATAGACAATGAACCTTCAAGTTATAGTAACAGCCATCTAGCAATCATTGCAGAACAATACAACACAATACAAGTAACTCATTTATATCATTTTAAAATAATATTTCCAAATTGCCTCGAAGCTGCCAATGGTTACGAGTTTTCAAGAAAAGTTAAGTTAGGGACGACTTTGATAGTGAGTCACAATCGGCTTTACTCCACTTTATCGAACCAGACTGTATCCCAACCACAAGAAGCAACATAAAAATTAATGAATGTCGTTCTGCCTCAGATATTTTCGTACCGAGTGAGATGATTTAAGAAAAAACACTATATTAATGGTTTGTTGTTTTCACTGCAGTAACTGGCCCAATGCTCACAAACAATAAGTATAAAAGCATATTGAACCCAAGGAAATGTACTCAGATGACAACGAAGAAAAGTAAAGCTGGACTAAATGGCACTAAAGTGAATGTTATGGGTTGGAAAGCTTTAAGAGCAAATGTGTGCTTCGATGAAGCTTTGAATTTATAAAGGTAACGAGATAACAAGCTTGCAAAAGGTGAAGATAATTACACCACATCTTTCCAACCCAGGCCTGCTGATGCCACTGCTGATGCCGGTAACTGCCAAGCCCCAAAATAAAATAAGCAAACAAAAAAAAGTCTTCTGCAAGTTGAGTACTGCGGCAACAACGGTTGTGCAATGCACTTTGAAGGGCTTATCTTTGTTTACCTTTTTCTTTTGCCCTAATTGCTTTGCCTTTTTTTTTTTTTTTGCTGTTTGAATTTAGTAACTTTCTTTTTTTCTTTGTTTACCTTTTACTTTTGCCATTATTGCTTTGTCCTTTTTTTTTTGCCTTCCTTCTTTTGTTGCCTGAATTTAGCGAGCTTTCTTTTTTGTTGCTTGCTTAACTTTTTTCTATGAATAAAAAGATTTTACAGCAATGCTGCTTAGGGCTAGTTTCCCCAGTATCGTGTCTGCCAGCAAACCAATGATGACACAAAACTCTGGACAGCTACCGCCATCTATGAGCGATGGCAACAACGACTTACGGCCAACAATTACTTCATTCCCACCATAATACAGCTTCGCTAGTCTTTCTACTTCACCAGAGTGGAAAGGCTGTGAGTTTTGTTAACGTGTCTCGTTTTTCCATTTTTCTTTCATGTTTTTTTATTATTATTTTCATGTTTTGTCGCTTATGCTGTGTGGAGGTACCGGCCAGGCGTGCATGTAAGCGCGGTGTTTGCAGTCTCCGCAAACTATGCTCTACTGTATTTAGTGGCTCTTGGATGCTATATTTGGTGAGTTTCCGTTTGTCGCGACCTTCGGTATTAGCAGAGATGCCAGAAAATTTCAACTCGAGCTTAATTTAACATACTTTTGTATATAGAATTATTGATATATCAAACTATTTTACAATCCCCTATGAATTAAATATTTGACTTGATGATCCTTACAAGAAAAGGGAGCGAAGCTCTCCATCTCTAAAAAGGTAAGAGTTCTGAATAGCTTACCGCCTCGGATGAATTCTACTGTCAAATCTTCCTTTCCAAGCTGTCGCAGCAACTGCACTCAGTGTGACACCGTGTCCTTGCACCAGCCCCGGTAGGAACTTCAAAAACGCAGACGGCACAAAAAGAAAGTATGAAAGAAGAAAAAAAAAAGGAAGACCATGCCGCCGGTCATTGCAGACGCTCGAATCGCTAATTGCTCTCGTGCATCTCGAGGTGGTTCTGCAGCGCGCTATTACGCACGAATGTCTCCGGGCACAGGTGACATGCAAATGGCTTCTCCCCCGTGTGCCTCAAGGTGTGGCTGGCCAGGGTGGTCTTCCGGCGGAACTTCTCGCCGCAGAAGCCGCAGGCGAACGGCCGCTCTCCGGTGTGCGTCCGGACGTGGTCCCTGAGGTGCCCCTTGTTCCGGAAACGTAGGCGACACTGGTTGCACTGGTAGGGTCGGGTGGTGGCGTGCGTCCACATGTGTGCGTTGAGCAGGGAGGACTCCGAGAACTCTCTGTGGCACACATGGCACTGCAGGTGCCTCATCCCAGCGTGGTCCCTGCGGTGGCGCATCATGATGTTCTCGTTCTGGCTGGCGTAGCCGCAGATTTCACAAACGAAGGTGCGCATCAGCTTGAGCTGCGTCCTGGCATCGTCCTCGTCCGAGTCCCGTTCCTCGTCGGCTGGTCGGAGGGAAGGTGAAGGCGGAGTAAGTCGCGACTTCCACACGGTACGACGTAAGGTGCTAAGCCGGCGGTTGCCTCAAGGCACCTCGGCATCGGATATTTCGACGAGCTTTATTTTCTTTGTTTGGTTTAGTTCAATACCCTTCATAACCGTAGGCCTTACGGAGAGATTTTAAATTAATCGACCGATGACATAGACCAGGGGTGGCCAAACCGCGTCGCACGAGCCTCCTGCGACTCTTTGGCGGCCCAAGTGCGGCTCATGGGTCTTTGTAGACCTATCCCTATAAACCTTTTGTCATTGCGCTTTTTGTTTTGTTTTTGTTCGCTAGCTGGTCTGTGCTGTCTCACAGTTCTTGCTCCCACACGCAGAAACACGTGATAGAAGCTGCAAGAACTTTGCCCGGCTGACACGCGGCAGGTTCTAGTACTCCTTCCAGTCCATGTAAAGAAGGTTCTTTCAAAATTCGTCTAGCACGCCACAATCTCTCCTGCACAGCGCTACAACCTTTCATCTAGCAAGAATTTTTTGGAGGCTTTGGTGTAGTGAAGCGTTGTGCATTGTCGCGCGGGAACAAACCTACGAGGACGTCGGCAAACGCCCCTCCGCAAGCCCAGGACTCAATCGCTCGCTTGGGTTTCAGCCACTCAAAGCGTCTGATTGAAATCATAGGCTTTCTCTAAACGTATTCGAGTTCACACAGACGAATGGTCACAAACTTTTTCTGGATGTATTTTAGATCACGCCTACAAACTTTTACACTACGTTTATTTCAGTTTATACCCATAAATAATTACAAACTTTTTCTCGGCCAATTTGAGTTCACACCTGGGCCATTCCACGCCGAACGTCGCAGATGTTGCGCTCGACTATTTTCGATTTATAAAGGACCTCAGAAAAGAAAAAAAATGTTTATTTAAGCAATCTGGTTGGGACACGAAATAAAAAAATTAATTTTACGCAAAAGAAAGCTTTTTAGAGCAATATTGACGGCACGAGATTTATTTTAAGCTCTGCGCAAAGTCCACCACGTTACAGAATGGTCACACATTCTCTCCACCTCAACCTGATGGCCAAGCCGATTTACCTCTCCTGTACACCCCCGAAATGCCGAGAAAACAAGAGGAAAGGAGGCGACTACTGGCTAAATTTTGTCTCGTGCCATCAATACTGCTCTAAAATTATTTTTTTTTCACTTAACATAACTTTTTTGACACACGTGTCCCAACCAGACTGTTTAAAACTTTTTCTTTTCTTTTCAGGAGCCCTTTAAAAGAAAATTCACGGCTTCTTTTCCCAAGGCCCTTAACCTTTTTCTGAAATATTTTCGGCAAAATTTTTTGTTTGTTTTATGCCATGAGCGTGGTTTTAAAGGGAAGCTGAAGCGGATTTAAATATGAAGAAAAACACCCGAGCCTGGTTAATTAGACTTCAGACATCATGAATATTAAATTGGTTTAGTCCTTTTATGCGCATATTAACTGGAAAAGTGCCTTCAAAGTAGCAATGAAGCCATGCCTCTCCGAAGCAGAGAAAGGGGAGAGAGGAGGAAGCCCATCAACCAACGTCACAAAAGTTCTGGCGGGGACCCCGTTGCAGCTGGCTGCGCTCGTAGGCTGCTCTACTGACTTTTCGAGCCGTCGCCGTTCTGCCGCCATATAGCGCTTGCTTTTTTTTTATATGTTGACCGGTCGTGCTATTGACTCAGTCGCCTGATGTGTTGACTGTTCTCTTGTTTTTTCAGGGGTTTGCAGAATATTTGTGGCGCTGAAGCAACTGACTCGCACTGTTGCACAATGCCGTACTCATGTGTAGCGCTCATTGCAGTTGCTCTCCCCGCTTACCGGCCTTTCCCCCACACCAAGATTTCAAAGGGATCGGTTCCCGCTAAGCGCACAGACGAGTTTGAGCAAGTAGCCAGTTTTCTGATCTGGACGTGTTCTTATGTGCATATGAAAACAATGTATGTACGTGTTTGGGTCTGAAGAAGGCTCGCCTGAACCCAACGCTCTGTTGACCATCTGTGAAGGTAAGAAGGCAATTTAGCGCATCAAAAGGCACACTCAAAGTGGAGACGAAACTAGGTAGGAATTATAAGTTGACTGTTCTAGAAAAAAAGCTACTACATTATTAGCAGGGGTGTGCAAATACCGAATAGTAGTTTTCGAATTGAATACCAAATTGAATTAAGAAAAAAAAAGCCGAATATTGAATAGAATAGTGATTTTGTTCGTAGGAATTTTTCAGAGTGCTGCAAATGAGATTATTGTATGTGCAGAGTATGTGCCTGGAGCAGAATACGCATCTCAAACAAAACAAAAGCCAAAATGTATAAAAATTCTGGTTAAAAAAAAAAAAAAAGCAGTTGCTGATGGACGTTGGACACTAAAGATCCAATTTTATGGCACAAACATAATCTATCTACCTAAGCGTCACAAGAAAACCCAAAGTTACAGCCACTCGTGCCCTTTTTTCTCGTTAAAAGCAGGACCTAACGCCGCCACATGTCCGTTTTTTATATATATATATCTCAGAAAAAGGGCATTTTGCGATATTTGGTCTCAATTTCAAGGAAGAAAAAGGGCACCCGGGATTTTATTTCACATAAATAAACAGATAGGGGTTAAATCTGAGTAAACAGGATTAAACAATATAATCGGAAGTAAGAAAAAAAAACATGTGGGTAGGTGGCGCAAGTCACCGTCCAACTGCCACTATGCACACGTTCCTCCGTCCATCTACCCTGTTTTAGAGAGCCTAGATTTAAAAGAGGGAGCAAGCGAAACTGAAACCGCGGAGACTGCTCCAACGCAGATTGGTCGCAAGTGCGCATGTGTTGTGTTGTCGTGTGGAAAGAAGGTGAGCGCGAGCAAACGAAAGAGTGACAACGCCTGCCCAATCGACGCTTAGGTTTTTTCGTCACCTTTTCGCAGTTCTTAATTCAAACGCAGCCATCGAGCGGTTGGAAACCCTCTCAAATCCTAGGCACACTATTTTTTCGTTCCAAGTCAGAATTTGCGGCTTGCGGTTCCAAAAGAATGACGACGGCAACTCAGCTGGTTTCTTCGGCGTGGTTTACGTGGTTTTGTTTCTGTGATCGTGCAGTTGTCGATTTCTGTGAGTGCGGCAAGTGTGTTCTACATCGGCGCTTTAATTTGAAACGAGGGGCTTTACGTGTTCAAAGAATTGGGCATGGCGCGGAATTCCGGCCTCCAACAGTTCCTCTCTGGAAGCGGTGCAAACGGGATGTTTCGGTTGTGATTCAAGGGTAGATTATTTCACGATCGTGAGTAAATCTGCGTGCTATGAACTTTCTGGTGTTCGTTACTTTTCTTTTTTCTAACCTGTGCGTTAGATTTTTGTGGAATGGTAGGACCAAGAGGTGTTTCTCGCATGGTCTGTCTAACATCACGGTGCTATCATTGAAAAAAAATGTCTTTTTTGTCAGCTCCGCGCTTCTTTGGCCAAATACACTGATTATTTGAGTGACCGAATGCTAGGAATTCGATTCTCGAATCGAATTATTCGGGAACTTTCTATTCAATTTAGATATTCTAATATTCGCACACCCCTAGTTGTTAGTTGTGTGCAGTGTGTTGGAAAAGCCATGATCATGTAGCCAAATAGCGGGTTTCCAATGGCTCTTTTGCGTTAACCGCCTTATATTAGTGTTTTAGTTTTGGTTTCTCATTATATCGTTGAAGTGACCATATTTCCCGGACCGACTCCGTAAACCAAGATTGTCTTATTCAGTTTTTTTAATCTACTCCGCTGCCTTGGGAGACTTTCACTGTGCAACTTGTTTCAGCATGGACCTTTTTTTCTTTACAGTAGCTGATACTATTTGAGGTCACATATCTTATAAACACAAACAAAAATTTTGTTATTTTCCTTTCATGGGTACATAAATATTCTCTTCAGGAGCGCTTTCTGGAGATACAAAGCACTGACGTTCTGTAGTGAATTGAGTAATTTTTTTTACACGTTACGCAATGTGTTTTGTATAAAGTTTCTGCGTCATGCAATGGTTCTTTGTGCTGTAGAAATTTGATCGGACGATGATAACGCTTGGTGGTGGTCTAATCAAGTCAACAAATCTTGGGAGGTGTGTGTGAATGTAGGCCCAGGAAGCTTTCACGAGTTCGACATCAAATTGAGGGCTGCCTGGCACACGTTTCCGCATTTTCTAAAGCTGTAATTGCATAATAATTGGTGGCAAACAAATAAAATGTAGCAGAGTGTACCGCTATCACAAGGATGGACCTTCCGCGCACCTATTCGCAAAGTATGCAAGTGCATCGTGGTGGCAGAACGACGACCCTGTCGCATCACCCGTCTCATCTCAGGGGAAGCTCTCCCGTTGTCCCAAGCCGGTTATACTCTCCATTCAATCCGCTTCAGCCTTGGTAAACAATGCAACCTGCACGCTCACGAGTCCAGCAGCTGCTAAGCATGAAGGCCGATGTGTGCCGAATTCTTGTCCTCCGGTGGTTGTTTTGGGGAGGGTCACGCTGATCCGACCCGACGCGCCCTGTCAATTGGAGGGTCAGGCTGACCCGACGCGCCCCGTCAATTGGAGGGGAGGGTCACGCTGACTCGACGCGCCCCGTCCTTTTATTGTCAACGTTTTGCATTACAATAAATAGCAGCCAGTAGGTTCCACAACGTACGAAGCTGGCCATGTCACGTCGGCGCAAGCGGTTCCTCGTGTCTGCCTTTATTACTGCAGGGGTAATTTTTCTGCTTTGTCGACAGCTGCAATGCTGTCGGCAAAGCTCATTACTCACATAATGAACATACTTTTTTCCCCGAAACATTTACACATATTTGGGTACTTGGGGGGGGGGGGGCGGTTCATTACACGGGGTAAAATTTTTGCATTTACACACTTAGTGCAAATGTCATATTAGGTGCCAATATGAAACAGCAAGGTACTGTGGCATGTCTCCAGTGAGGGAGGCACACCCACGGCTGGTCGGGTGCGCGCCACAATAACCATGCTTTATAAATTGCAAACCTTTTTAGGGCGCTTTCGGGGTGCCTTTTGAGGAAGAAAAAGTGCCCTAGGAAGCTCACTCAGGAGCTCACTCGGCACGAAAAGCAACACATTCCTTCTTGGGCAATATATATTGCTAGTATCTGGAGGGCAGACTCAGGTATATCCTTCAGGTATATCCGCGACTACCCTTATAAGAGTGTGAAGTCCAACCTCCGACCGCGGAATCCACCTCGCATGGATCAAGTTTCGTTCACGGAGAACTCGTACGAAGTCAAACTGCTGACCTCAGAAGCCTGCTCGCAGAGGTCAAGTCGGAGAGGCGACCAGGCACTCTCGGGCTCCAGCATAGCGGACCTTGCTGTGCAGGTTAAAAATAAACGCATTTACCCCGAGCATGTGAAATTAGGCCTAACCACTTTCACTATTTCACTGTCCGAAAGCGGACCATAGACGACGGCTTGTTTGTTGACATCAATGCATCCGATAGGCAAAGAATGTCTGGAGCTTGGCAATTGCAGGACCCAAGCTTCGTCAAGCGTGTGCTACACTTGGTTTCAAGGTTGATTACTTCGGTAACTGTTGGTTACTTCCGTAACTACCGCAACTACGCACCTGAGGCCATTATGAGAGTGGCTTGGTTTGGCTTGACCTGGCCTGAACACTTGGCGGCAAAAGAAAACTGGCTTGGTGGCTTGCTAAACTGGACGCAATTCGAGACTCTCGGATCCAAAAATTAGAGCTGCATTGATTACGGGAGGGGAAAAAAAAAAAGTTAAAATATTGATGCCCGTTGTGGGGGGTGCGTTTATTATACAAATGTTTTTATTATGCGAGTAAATACGATACTCCGCCATGTAAAAGGCCCTCCGGACACATTCCCTTTTTGGATCCACCGAAAGATTTGAAAAATCAGAAGCCGAACCCGACTTAAAAAGAGCAGTAGCCTCGGCGCCCGACTACTTCCGCAAGCAATGAAGCAAGTGAGAATCGAGGTGAACCTTTCATGACGTAGTGGCACAGAACGCGTGACTAGCCAGGGCCGTGCCACTGCGGCGATCGCTTCTGTTTTCCTCGCTTTTATTCGTGTTTAGTGACTATTTTGTGTCAAATGGTTGAGATATTTGGTCTCAGCAGGCACAAACACGTCAGGATCAACCATAAACTCGTTTTTTTTTCAAAAAGCCTTCAGCTTTCCTCTAATATCTACGCTTCACTATTTATTTAATGAAAGTAGAACAGTGTTTACCATGCTATATTGTGATAATTATGCTATTTTTATTCTTAAAATATTGTAAAAAAATTAACGAAATGCAAAACAAGTAGTACTTATCTAAATTTTATAGTTTAATTATCGCTTTGCACCTAACAATTACAGTATAGACCACTTACAACGTAACCGCTTACAGTGCAGGACCGGGTATAATGCGGCTTTTTTAAACCACCGGTTTGCCTCCCATAGAAGTCCATGTAATTACATACCGCTTAAAATGCAGGCACGCGAAGGGAAATACCGGTTACAGTGTGGTTTTCGGAACCGGCGACCATGCCGACTGACCGACGCAGAGAGCACGCTTCCCTGTGCGACACTAGATAACGGCGCGAGCCACAAGCGGCACTTGCAGGGCAAGGAGGTTGCTCGAAGAAGTGGGGAGAAGCGAAGAGAGAGGCTTCAGTTGCCATAGCGACGGAGGGACGCATGCACGTGTTGTTCACGTGCATGCGTCCCTCTGCTGCGTTGGAAACGTTGAAAATAACCGCAACAACAGACCAATCGCAGGTCGAGGAGAAGTGTTTGCTCGCGTTACATGCCGGTCGCGGGCCGGCCGGCTGCTTCTATCCGCAAACATGGCGTCGGTTTTGATCGTCGACGTAGACGGCGTGGTAGAAGCTCATCGTTCCGCGTAAAAGCGCTATCCTTGATTGTGAATTTTCGTTGTGTGTCGCTATGATAACCCAGCACGTACTAAAAGCGAAGATCCACACTACTCGTGCGGCGATGTTGTGGCGGCACTCTCAAGACGGCAGAAACGCCCGTGTCGTTGTGTTTGTTTACTTCGACTATAGTGATGCTTTCTAAGCATTTGTGTTTTCGAACATCGCCTGGATTTCTTATTTGGAGTATTTCATGCCTGTGCTCAAGTTAAGGTACTACTGGTGCGTACCGTGTAAAGGCTACGAATTTTCACGCGTTTTCATCACCGGAGAAAAGTGATTAGGGAATCAGCAATCCTGAACGCTCGCAACGTCCGTCCGCAACCCGCGATGCCGTTAAAAGGCTGCGCCAGGCAAAAGTCGCTCATTTCTTTTAAAATATGTGACACACTTGAGAGAGAAGTGTACTAGTCTGGTGAAGTAAAGACTTTCCTCAAACTAAGCTTTATTTTTAACCTAACACAAAATAAATTCTTTTACAAAGGTAAGTTGTATGATGGCATGCATTTTGGCATGAAAAAATGATGTTTTGGTTATAGCGCGGTACTGCTTATGGTGTGGATTTTCGCGACTCCCGCGACATACGTTATATGCGGTCTACACTGTATATCTTTTTCTATTGAAAGCCCTGTAGATGTATTATGAATAAAAAATGTTTAAAGCAGTACAACAAAATACTTCAAAAAAATTCTGAAGTTGTGAACAAGTCAGTCCTGCTGCCTCAACAGCCACTTATTATACCCTGAGGTGGCCTAATTAAAAATGTGAAAATAAAAAATTGAAGAGTTTATTGCACTGCATTCATGAAAGATTAATCCAAAAATGTTTTGTCCAAAGCGAGAAAAAAATATAGAAGTTGACATTCAAACATTTTTATTTGTAATAAATCTACAGGGCTTTCAAAACAAAAATTTAACAATGCCAGGTGCAAAGAGAACTTAAAAAAACAAAACATGGCTTTTTTGTATATTTTAACAATAAAAATTGTTTAATTAACATAAGAAAGCAAGCTAAAAACAGTTCAAATTTTACAAAGACGATTGTGGAGCGTTTTTAAAAAAATCCCATTTTTACTAAATTACTGAATAATGCCTTATTTGGCACCCAATTTAGAGTTAAGAACAATGCTCGCACCATCAAAAAATATTTTTCGCCAATAATTTTTTTAAGAAATGATTGAGGATCTTGGGGGTAAAAAGCCATGAATTTCAAAAATCATAAATAGCCTAGCGCAACGTTTGGTATGTTGGGCGTGGAACAACTCAAACCAACGTTTGCGTAAAATAAATTCTTTCCCGAGAGAATTTATTTTACGGAAATATTCTTCCGATGCCGATAGACCCATATTTAATATTATTCAAAATAAAAATAAAAAAATTTGAAAAAAGCAAAAAAAACTTTTGTAGACCTTCTTTTTGAAATTGTGCAAACCCTCGTCAGCAATTATGAGCCAAGAAGACGCCAAAGGTACTTGCTAGATTGCGACGGGTTCCCGCTGCCTGACCGTGCTGCGGCGTCTCCTTGCTTTCCTTGCGTTTCCTCCGCCCAGTTTGGACCGCCCGGCACAGCGGTCTCCTCGACCGCCGCCCGCACTCCAAAGTGCAACTCGACGTGCTTCACCAGCGCCGACTTGGCGACGAACGCCTGCGGGCAGAGGTGGCAGGTGAAGGCCCTCGCCCCCGTGTGCGTCATCAAGTGCAGGTTCAGGCCGGCCTTCTGCGCAAACGACTTGCGACAATGCCCGCACGTGAACGGCCGTTCCCCCGTGTGGGTCCGCAGGTGGGCCCTGAAGTTGCGGGACACCCTGAAGCGCGCCGAGCAGACGCCGCACTGGTACGGCTTGGCACTGAGGTGCAGCCGCATGTGGCGGCTCAGCGAGACCAGCAGGCGGAACTCGTCGCTGCAGACGTGGCAGCGCAGCGGCGGCGGTCCGACGTGGCACAGCCGATGAAGCAGCACGTGGTTTTCGTTGTAGTCGTGGAAGTTGCAGAGGTCGCAGCTAAAGGTGTGCATGCCCTCTCTTGGTTGCCTCGAGGTCTTGTCGCCGCTGCTGTCGGAGTCGAGTCCTTGTTCCTCGTCATCTGGGGGGTGGGGTGGGGGATGATGAAGATGGAATGAGTACGAGTGCAAGGCAACAACAGTAAAATAAATCACTCGGCTTAGATATTGTCACGGATAAAAAGGATCAAGAATAGTAAAACTGAAAGTTCAGGTTTAATCGCCAAGCCAGAAACAAAAGAAAAAACGAGAGTTGAAACAGCAGCAGCGAACATCGCAGCGTCGCAATGCCACAGAGTGTGAGTCGGCAAGGCCACGCTTGACCCCTTTCCTACAACAGACGGCGTCTCAAATATTCAACCTAGAATATTCGAGAGTGAGCTAGGACGAGACTGATGCTCGAACACCATGTTGACCTCCTTATCTTTTACACGAGGGGTAAGAGTAAATTCGAATCTTCTAGAAGTACGGAGGAGTGTGTTCTTTCTAGGTCATGAAAGCGGCAATATGCAATAAAGGTACGATAGCACCCAGAAGGGTTTTCAATGAGCAGCGCTTCCTATCGGAAATTAGCAGATATATTTCACCATTAAATCAAGCGGAGAAATCGTGATGTCAGGTGACACGAGACGTCCCACAACATTGTGACGTCAGGCAGCAAGACCAACAAGAGCAAGAAAAATTCGCAATGGGTTCCTATATGAAGCTATCGCTATTAAACGAGGCACCCTGACACTTGAAACGTCCAGCTGGTAACGCATGCAGGGCTACAATTAAGGTGCTCACAATGAACCTGCAGAGGTTCGAATCCAGCTGGCGGCAAGTCTCCCTTCCGCAAGCTTAAACAAGGCATAAGGCTAACGTCAAAGTACTTGACAGGTTTGGTTGGGGTTAATTATTAACGAGGTTTCATAGGGCTCATATTTTAAAATCTTGTTGCACTTGGGCCAGGCCCATAAACGTGAGCATGCGTAATGCTCTGTGTTAAAAACCCACAAACTACAAGCATGCTCACACATGGCTCACGAAGTAGCTAATGGGTGGTAGACGAAACAGACAAAACGGTAGTTCATCTTGGTTACTTCTTTTTTTTTTTCCACCAAAATGGGACCAAGTAAAGTGCAGCAGATTATCATATACATCAGAAGAGTAAACAAGAGAAACACTCCTAACAGAAGTAACACTTTTGCCATTGTCAAAAAGAAATTATGGCAATTACCAGCAACTGAATTTACTCTGTTACTAGCATAAGCATCACTTTCAAAGGGAACTTCTGCAAGACCAAAGTTTCACGATGGAAAAACACTTCCCAGTGTAGCATCGAGGCAATCCAAATATGAGCGCATGAAAGATTCACACACAAACTGCCAGATCGCACAAGTCCTGCATAATACATGTACCATGTTGAACTACATGTTAGTGTACTGTATGAAAATCAAAGGTTCACTGCTGCCTTTGAATGAACTGCTATGTGATCAGACTACCTACTTCACAATCAAAAAAAGTAATGAGATAGATTATATCCCTTGAAGATGCCTACTCACACACAACATCAGATATTCAGAAATAATGTTCATAGGGCAGATCAAAAGGGTTAACTTCAGTACTCAACTTCAAAACATTGAGCACCTAATCACAACATCTAGACATCACATTTCGGGCAAAGTAAAACTTGCCTACTTGTGAAGAAACCATAAAGAAACCCCAAGTACGAGCGCAGTCAAACACAGGGCTAAGCTGCATGTTCGAAGCACGCACCTCTAACAAAACTAAAAGAAACATGAGGAGTGTGGTGAGATGTGCACAAGGTTTGAAAACGAATGAAGCTGACCTATGGCGAAGAATTCTGCCAACTAGTCGAGACAAATTCGAAGAGCATGTCAGTGTTAAATACCGAGCAAGCTTCAACCGTAAATATAGTTCGGACAAAATGGGACACTTGTTAGGTTCAACAACCGGGAAAGAGCACAACGGGCACATCATAGAAAAGGCCATTGCTTCATCTCACGAAGCAAGGTTCTGGCAGAACCCCCAAATTTTAACTACACTCGTCGCGCCTGCTTCGTGCTGGTGCTCTTGCGTCAAGATTTACCACTTTGTACCAACCTTCTAGAAAGGCAACCAACGCAAAAGAGCATCTTGGTTAGCTTAGTGGGCTGAAAAGATTGCTGGGCTGGGTGCCCGATGTATCCTTTGCTTACATTTGGAATGTTGCAAGATGTTTGAAACGCTTGTTGCGAAATGGGCGCGTGCTTGGTATTTTACGGTGGCTGAAAACATGCGACTGTTCGAGCTCGTCGAGCAGAAAACAAAAAAGGAACTTGTCACTGCAGACGATGCACTGAAGCTGCCGGAGCTCGGGTGGTGCACCATCATATTTTCAGTCTTAGCGGCGCATCCACAGCTCTTTGTCGAGGTTCACTGTCTAATGCTTGAACTTTGTCACCTGTCTGGGGAAAAGAAAGACGAAGGTGCAATAGGTGTTGGTGCGAGACACAAGTTAAGTGGCGCACAAGTAGGTCACTTCGACGCTACTCCTGGCACACTGGCGGTTACATCGTGGCACCTCAGCATCCAGCATTTTGATAAAACAATGAAGCTGCGTCGCAACTAGGTAATTGCGGTAAAAGTATGTTCAAATGTAGCCTACAAAGAAGCGTTTGGGTGACTAACAAACCAGAGGTCAAGTTAATAACCTTTGGTTACATCATATTCAATAGTCCGTGTAGAAAGCTGAGCCGTCTGGAACATCCACACAAAGAGGGACAGTAGTTTAGCACTCTGCATCTGTATTAACCAATGGAAATGACAGAAGATTACAAGCAACCAAGTTAATCTAGTGAGTTAGACTGTGTATCACATATATCATCAAGACAAGTTTCACAAGATGGAAAGCAACACTTCCCAGGATAGCATTGGTGAACTCTTAATACAAGCATTGAAAGGAGTAGCAGAAAAGCTTCCAAAAAAACCCAAGTCCTGCTTCTTGCATACGCAATGTTCGACCCCACAACAAAGTTTGATCACACAGTACAAAAATACAAGGTTGCTAGATGCAATTCAATCAACTCTGTTCTGACCTTTAATCATTGTAATTAAAAAAAAAAAAAAAGCCATTAGGATAGATTTTATTCCTGTCTAAGAGCTGAGCAGCCCACTAACAGATAGGATCAGACAAACTTTGCTGAGATATGCCAGTTTTGTAAATAAGGATAATCTGCAGGGTTTATTCTAAAACAGAAATCAAAACAATTGTAAAGAATGAACCTTCAAGAGATATTAACAGCCATCTAGCAATCATAACAGTACATAACAGTACTAAATTATATAATTTTTAAGAAAATAATGCCAAATTGCCTCTAAGCTCCCAATGGTTTTGCGTTCTCAAAAAAAGAAAAGCCAAATTAGCGACGACTTTGACAGTGCATCACAATGGGCTTTACTCCACTTACCGTAAAAAACTGCGCACCCGCCCATTCCGCACTAAGCGCCCATAACCAAATTTTTAAGATCCGAGAGAATATGCATAGTACATCGATATGTAAAATTGACGACCGGACAAGCACCCATCCCCCATTTTTTCGCGATTATCTCTACATTTTGAGTGGGCGCTTGCCCGCTATTTTACAGTAATCGAACCAGACTGCAACCCAACCACAAGCAACATTAAAATTAACAAATGTATTCTCCATCAGATAATTTTGTACTGAGTGAGATGGTCTAAGGGTGGCTGGGGAGGAAGCAGGCGGCACGCTAAAGACAAGAGGAAGTTTTTCCCTCTCCTCTCCAGCACTCAGTACGATTCCTCCTCCCATTTACTGTCTTACCCTCACCCTACCTTCTTGAGTCGCAACGCACTATAGTGGTTTGCTGTTTTCACCGCAGAAAATGGGCAAATGCTCACAAACAAAAAGTATAAAAGCAGATTGAATCCAAGCAAATGAACTCAAATGACAACTAAGAAAAGTAAAGCTGGATTGAAAGGCACTCGAGTGAATGTTACAACTTTGTTGCCCTTTGGCCGAGTGCTTTGACAAGAGTAGTGTGCTCCAATGAGGCCCAGAAAAAAAAATGTTCAAAACAACTGCCCTCACAGCTCAATCGCACCTAACCTCAGCCTCAACTGTAGCCTGCCAGGCTTCCGTGCGCTGTCTTCAGCATCCACAGCTATCTGCCGCATTGTTTCGCTGGAAGCACAAGCCAACTGCGACCTCCTCACTCTCTGCTTCACTGAACTGCCCCATCCCCCGCAGTTTACAGACCTGCTCGCACCGACTCCAAGGGCGAGGTCCAGAGCCGTTCCTGGGTTCAATGTTGTCGCCCATTAGAGACGATGAGCTTGCTCCCTGGCATGTGCACGATAACACGAGACTGAACAGAATGCCTCCACGTAGGCTCGGAGCCGGTTGTACCATATCTCGCATCCCCAACATCAAATGCGCTATACGCTATCAGTAAAAGCGTTGGTACTCATTTTGCTTTACTCTCTTTACATCTTGCATAGGGAAGGTGCAAGATAGACGAAGGAAGCGCACAAGTTCGAAATATACAGATGCAGACAATTGCACTACGTCCTTGCGCCCCAGGTTTACCAAACATTTTCGTAACATAACGAAACAACATAGTCAAAAATAAGGGTGCATTCACTTCAGGCACGTAGCCAGGATTTTGATCCGGGGGGGGGGGGGGGGCACCTATGACAAAATGCTGTATCAGGGGGAAGGGGAGAGGAAGCCCCAGCAAAAGGGAAGATTTCAGGAGGGGCCTGGGCCTCCCCCCCCCCCCCCTCCCCCTTTCTAGCCATCTGCCTGATTCACGTCCTCCCTTCCTCGAATGGCAACCGTTTTTAACAGTTCGCTAACCCCGGTGAATTCTACTTTCAGGCTTTCTGCCCCGAGCCGTTATAGCAAGCGTGAACACGTTCCCACGTTAGCCCCCAAAAGTTACCCTTAAAAATATGAAGTATTAAAGAAAGACAAGAAGAGAGAAAGAACCCGCCTGGCGCTGATGTGGCTGCCTCCCACAAAGGAAGCCGACCACCACGGACGGTTTGTATACGAGTGTTGAAAGTGACAAATAGAACTTTACCAAAAAATATCTGAAATTGCATGAAGAATTCTACTTATTTTAGGAACAAATTTCGATTAAAAATGAAGGGGCACAACTCAAGAACATTAAAGCTACATGCTATAGTGATATCACACATCGTGGCATGTATGACATACGACGCAACGATACAATGGCTAGGATCTATGGATCTACCCATTGAATTCATTGGACGAATGAATGGATGGACAAATATGGCTGAATTAACGAATCGGGCGGTGCCTTGCGCCACCTCGCGACAGAACAGCCAAGGTTGTCCACATCGCTTCCACTCACCACCAAATCTGGCGTCGCCGTAATTCTTGGTGCTACGTGGCTCAATTTTCGACGACTTTGCACTTTTGGTGCTGCCGGAAACAGCAAATTGCAAACGTATCAAAATGGTGCAATTGGCGCAGCTGTCCCACCCCTGCCTCCGCCTCTGAGACGTCATTGGACGGAAATCGGGAGACCACTTTTGAGGATTCGGTAAACGCGCATGCCCTGGGCCCCACGGCGAGACGGCCACTTGCGCACGTGGGTCCTCAAGTGGGTCTGCAGCGAGATCTTCTGCCCAAACACTTCCGAACACAGGTGGCAGGCAAACGACTTCCCCTTCGCGTGCGTCTTGGTGTGGCTGGCCAGGGTCGTCTTGGTGGTGAACCACCTGCCGCAGACCACGCAGAGGAACGGGCGCTCGCCCGTGTGCGTCCTCAGGTGGTCCACGGTGGTGCCCCTGTGCCGGAACCGTGCGAGGCACAGCTCGCACTGGTACGGCCGGGGGCTGGCGTGCGTCCACACGTGCTGGTGGAGCAGAGAGAGCCGGGGAAACTCCTCGTTGCACACGTGGCACTGCGTGGGCCTGGCCTCGGAGTGGTCCCTGCGGTGCCGCATCAGGATGTTCTCGTTCTGGGACCAGTAGCCGCAGACGTCGCAGGTGAAGGTGCGCATGCCCTTCACCCGCGTCGCGGCGGCGTCTTCGTCTAGGTCTTGCTCATCGTCTGCTGCTCGGAAGGAAGGCGAGGGCAGGATGAGTCGGCAATCCCACGCGACAGGCTTGGACGTGTGGCATACCGGCGGCTACACTACTCTGTATGGTTATTACCGTCAAACAATGTTTACGTCATTGCCGTTTCCAGCAACCCCGAGCTGAAGGTCGCGCTTCGAGCGGTGGTTTGCGAGGCATCTGCACTTTTTTTGCCCGTTTGGCGACTTCAAAAGCCACAATATCGAGTGTAAAGACAGATTTTTTACATGCCACCTTCTTCGGACAATGCATAAGGAGTTAAAAATACATTGTCGCTGCACAAATTTTGTGAGGAAATGTTATTTGCTTCTAGTGGGATTCGACTGCAACATTTTATGTTTATATAGAATTTTTAAAAAACTGCCCGGCTCAGACGTTTCGTGGAGTCCAACGAAGGTGCAATGGCACTTGGTGGGGTCTCGAATGGGCAGCACTTTCTATTGGAATAATGACCAATGTGACAATTGGCGAGGAAATTGCGAACATATAAAGGACTTGTCTCCCTCATCCGTACAAGTCTTCTTCGTTGGCAATGCATAGTTTTTTCTGAAAATGCGGCCGTGCAGAATCTGACCTTGAAATGCTTTTGCATCGGCTCGACCAGTGGTTCTCAAACGAGGGTCCGCAGTCCCTTAGGGGTCCCTGAAGGACTACTTGGGCTCCCCAAAGCCTCTGAATGTTAGTAAAGCCGAGCAATCAACCATTTTTTTTTTTATTGATGCTGGTTGTCCCACAAAGCTAAATAACCGTACCATGTGTGCCAAGTTAGTAGGACTGACCATTCTGTTCCAAAGCTTCAAAGTTGGTTTGCCCCTTGGTACTAATTGTAATCATCCAAAACACCACTCCCCTGTGGCAGGTTGGGTCCACCCTCCCTTCCATTGATCCAGAAGGGATCCTTGAAAGGAGAGTGGCTGAGAACGACCGGGCTAGACCATCCTACCAAGACGGAGGTCCGACCCCACTACACCGCCTCCACTATTATACAGAGGGGGGAGGAGGAAACAAGTGTTAGTGCACTGCTTACCCCCCCTACCCTCTGTGCAGCGTCACGTCACTGGTCGCACATGCCACCATGTCTAATCGACAACCACGCTCTGTTGGTAATGCTATCTCCCCTTGCCCTGCCATGGTGAGACCAACACGTGCGAGCAAGGTCCGAATGGCATTCCCACATACACGGCTGTCACTTTGATAATGTCCCGTAGACATTTCTGCAATTATTCGAGAACACCGTGCTTAAAGTCCCGTAAATGTCTCCTTGCCCTCGCAGCATCTATCACGCAACACCGAACACAGGGAGCGGGAAAGAGAGCGAAAGAGGTAGGGGGTATCGCCGTTGCTTGCCTTCGGCCCCTGGCTTCGTCTGCTCACCCGCGTTGCTTCCGTCACCCGTGTCTTCTCCTACCGCCGGATCCGTACAGTCCACTCCCGGCGTTCCTTTCGGCGCAGCGAATGGCCCTGCACGTTTCGCAACGGGTTCACTTGGGGCGGGAACACTCCCTCACCGGCGATTCCGAGCGGAGAAGACGCAAAGGGGACTTACCCGACGCCGACGGGGGTCCCACGCCCGGTTCCGCTGGCGGCACATCTCGAGGCGAAGCCCTGCCTCGCTCTGCGTCGTTTGGGAGGGCGGGAGGAACAGGCGCCGAAAGCACCTCTTGCGCCCCGAAGTGCGAGGCGACGTGCTCCTTCAGCGCGGATTTGTTCGCGAACGCCTGGGCGCACAGATTGCAGGTGAACACGCCCGCTCCCGTGTGAACCGCCAGGTGCTTGGTCAGGCTGGACTTCTGCGCGAACGACTTCTGGCAGTGCCCACACGCAAACGGCCGCTCCCCTGTGTGGGTCCGCATGTGGTCCCGGAGGTTGGACACCGTGAAGCGCGCCAGGCACACGTCGCACCGGTACGGCTTGGCGGTGAAGTGGGTCCGCATGTGCCGGACGAGCGACACAAACAGGGGGAACTCGTCCCCGCACACGTGGCATTGCAGAGGAGGGGTGGCATGGTTCACGCGGTGGCGCATCACGCGGTTCTCGCTGTAGCAGGAGTAGCTGCAGAGGTCGCAGCCGAAGATGTGGGTGCCCTTGGGCTTCTCACTGAAGCTGTTGTCAATGTCTCGTCCTCGTTGGTCGTTAGCTGTGGGGGAAGGGAGAGGGGGGAAAAACGAAGGTGCAATGGCGGCGACACTGAAGGTAAAATTGATGCACCTCGAGACTAGGAACATGGCGTACCTCAGCAATTCCCTAACTTTGCGACCTCGAGGAGCCCTTATCTGACCCGACTGAGAGCCGAGGAACGCCCCTCTGTCGCAGTGTGGGAGCGACAAAGCAATATCGAAGCCTAAAGGCCCTGTAAACACTAATGCACATACTAGGGGATGTTTGGCTCGTACTAATGCCTAGAAATGGGTCAGATTTGCTTTTATAAAGTCGTAACGGGAAAAACCCTCTACTTCAGAAGTGAGGACGGTCGAAGAAATTCAACAGTTCAGGGAACCCTTGAGGGTTCATAGGAGCAAAGTAAGAGAACCCACCATCTCAAGTATAAAAGAACTTTATGAACAAGCATTTCCTACAACGGAATATATATATATATTATATATAGATATACATAAAAAGAAAACCGAGAAAACAAACCCCCCCCCCCCCCTCCCTTTTATAAAAACAAGGCATCAAACTGTCTGGCACAAAAAAAAAAAAAAAGAACAACAAGAAACTAAGTATTTTGCAATGTCAAACAAGCACAGAGCTTTTATTAGGAAAACAAATTTGAAGACATTTATTATAATTTCAGAAAACTCTGGAAGACCACAAATAATCTTGTGTCAATAGGCACAAAAACTGGTGCTACTTACGTTATAGTTGAAGGCACGTGCCTCGCAGGTATTACGCTCGCTGACAAATTTAACCGTCATTCCTTGGAGTCTAGCACCTTTAGTGCGCATGCCACAAATAGTGCCGCTTACGAACTTTTCGTCCTATCTAGCACAGAAAGCTTTTTTTCTTTTTTTGTTCCCTACTGCTGAAACACACTTACAGCCTTTCACAGTTACTAAAGAATAATGGTGCATGCAGCGAGGATGGCATTAAAGCTGAACCTATAAAATCAGTTGCCAGATTTATTACCCAACCACTCTCGCACACATGTAACCTATTCACAGGTACTGGTGTACTCCCAGGTAAAGTAAGAATAGCAAGAATAACAGTCATATGCAAAGGGAGGATCTAATTGATTTAAACAGATACCAGGGCTATTTCGTTTTTACCCATTTTTTTTTTTTTTTTTAAATCATAGAGCAGGTATCAATGCATGTTTTTTACATCTTTAGAAATACAAACATGGTAAAGCAACAGCACAGTTTCCTAGAAAAAAAAAAACAACGGAAATTGCATTATTAGGCATAAAAGATAGAAGAATCGATAACTTATAGCAGCAACTGTATATGGTAGTTTTCTTGATTAAAAAAAGAAAAATGTGTACAATTCTCCGTAATGCCGAACAAGAGTGCGGCTCTTGAGGAGGAGGGAAGGGTAAGGAGGGGAATTTACCAGGAAATTGTGGGACAATTTCCCAGTAAATTCCTCAACTAAATTTAGCGCGGAAATGTCCTTGCTAAATTTGGGTCCCCACTAAGTTTACCAGGAAGATTTCCCTGCCAAATTTGGCAGGAAAATTTTTGCACTAAGTTTAGCGCTAAAAATTGCCCGCTAAATTTGTCGGAAAAATTTCCCTGCTAAAATTGGCAGAAAAACTTCCCAACTAAATTTGGTAAAGAAATTTTCCCGCTAAATTTTTCTGCAAAGCAAAGAAGGTGCAAAAGGTACTTGCTCGATTCCGAGACGGCTCCCACGCTCGGCTGCGCCACCGGCTCGTCCGGAGGCGAAACCAGAGGTTGCTCCACTCCACTTGGGCAGGAGGACGGAACAGGCCCTCGGAGCACACCCTGCACGCCGTGCGAACCAACGGCGCCCACCAGTATGGACTCGCGCCCCAACGTTTCTGGACACGGGCGACACATGATCGTCCCTCCCTCCATGTGGCTCAGCAGGTGGATCCTGAGATTCGCAGGCACCGCGAACCGCACAGAGCACACGTCGCACTGGTACGGCTCAAGGCTGAAGTGGTTGCGCACGTGCCTCTTCAGCGAAACGAGCCGGGGAAACTTGCTGCCGCACACATGGCAGCGCAGCAGCGGCGGTCTGGCGTGGCTCAGGCGATGGAGCATCACGCCATTCTCGTTGTAACAGGAGTAGCTGCAGAGTTCGCAGCTGAATGTACGCATGCCCTTTGGTTGTTGCGTCGGACCCGTGTCGACGTTGAGCGCCGGTCTTTCGTTGGCTGAGGTGGGGTAGGAGGAAGATGTGTGTGTGATGAGCATCATGGAGAAGCAACAATAGTCACGCACGTGCCGCTGTGTGAAAGTGTTCACACGATGTGCCAAGTCGCCCAGACGTCATTGTGTAAATCCGCGTGTTTACAGAATGCCATATGGGTGACTTAACACATCGCGTGAATGTGTTTGTACTATATTTAACCAGATGCAGCGTGTAGTGTATAAAAAAAAAACAAAGGTTCACAGTTGCACTTGAACAAACTGCTATTTGACGCAGGCTACTCCAAATTCAAAAACAAGTTATTGAGGTAAATTTGATCAGTCCAGATTAGGACGCTAAAGCACCTCAGCCAGATCCTATTTCACTGCACCTGACTATAATGCTGAGAGGATAAATACACAGGGTGAAATATAAAACCAGCCACAAAATAACTGTGATTCCACCAGCAAATGTAGCACTTCCCAACCTGCTAAAAAAAAGCGTAAAGAAAACCTAAGCATGAACACAGAGTTAAGCGCAGGTTTAAAACTTTCAGAAATGCTGAAGTTTACTTGAACACATCATGCTTAATATTACAGAGCAGCAATACATAATACTGTGTAGGAATTCAAATTCAAATTTGGGGGTTTTACGTGCCAAACCAACGACGGGCATCTGGCACACCCCAGCGGGGGACTGAGGATTAATTTCGACCACCTGGGGATCTTTTGATGTGCAACCGAAAGCTCGGTTACCACGGCACCTTCTCTGCAATAAGCCTCCGTCAGATTGAGGGCGCCTCGGCCGGGATTCGAACCCGCCACATGGGGATCCGTAGGCCGGCGCTCTCGCCTCGGAGCCACCGAGGCGGCTATAATGTGTAGAGATCCAAGACAAACATATGGGTCAGTTTCTCGCTTTCCTATACTCGGCGTCAACTATTCTGTGCTATGTTGCAAAGGTCAGCGTAGCTTCTGGAATGCTCCAACTCTCGAAGTTAATTGTATGAACGCATACAAATAAAGCGTGAGACAAAGCCACAGGCTCTCGCAGCAGTGCAAGGCTTCAGCACCCGGAAGTGCAGCACAAAACAGTCTATGGGTGCATCCACGGCGGCGGCGAGACAGCGTTTTCCTGGAGGTCACCGCTGATGTCCTCTCCTTCGTCAGCTGGTTAGGGAAGAGAGAGACAAAGGTATGACGAGCACTGGCGTGGCGTAAGACAGGGCGCTTTGATGCTACACCTGGCATACTGGCGGGTGGCATTAGACACTTCAACAAATCAACGTTAAAAGATGTTATAACTAGCAGCAGCGAAATGTGTAGTGCAACAGGCAGCAGCATCTAACAGGGTCATACGACGAACGAGCATTTGGGCGGCAAGGAAACCCAGCGCCAATTGAATTAGTTTTGGCCGCCAAGCGTTCCGGCCGGCACCAGGTCGGCTGGAACGCCTACGTGAAGAAGGTCAGCAGGCTCACTTGCATCTGTATTAACCAATAAAACTTATACAGAGATTACAAGTAACAAAGCTAATCGTGCGAGCTGGCCTGCACATCACACCGAAAAGGTGTGATATTACAAGATTCAAGTTTCCTAAAAAAACGAAAGAAATACCACTTGGGAGACCATTGGCACATTTTAAATATTGGCATAGAAAGGATTAACACAAAAGCTCTAAAGATCCACAAGTCCTCCATATTACATCTGCAGTGTTTGAACACACAGCAATACATGCTATAAGAATTAAAAGGCTGCATGTTCAATTTCAATTAAGACATTATGATATTAATATTTTTTCACTTTAGTAAGAAACAGGCTGTTGAGCATTTGAGACAGACTTGTTTGCTCCCTAGAAACTGAAATACAAGGTCGGACACAAATGTTGCTCAGATGTGTCAACATTGTAAGGAAAATCCATAGGGTCCTTTATGAAACAGATCAAAAAAAAACTTTGGCATCTGTTTTATCACATGATTCCGGTTCTGGACGTTTCTGCCCCTAGCTGGAGCAAAAGCATCCAGGAAAAGGTGCTCTTCGGTTTTAACACACCTTGTTTTTCTTACACCGACGGATGTTTGTCGGCCTCTTTTGGTTGCAACCGGAATGTCTACGGCCTACCTAAGACGTCACCAGAATTTAATTAAATCAAAGATGAAAGAATGATGCATAATAAAATTTAAAAAAAGACGTGCATATCTGAAGTACTCCAGGGCTACCCAACAGATGGCACCACTGTGTTCTCTCACCGTAAGCAGATACAAGCAGTTGCTACGCACTCAATAACACTCCTACACTAACGCACAAACCAGTCTGCATTTCTTAAAAAAAACAAAAACAAGTATCTCGCACATTATTTTGAAAAAAAAAAAATATATTTTCAATTGGTCTCTACAAGCCCAAGTTTCCAAGCAAAGAAAGTCAAATTAGTAAACATTTTGATATTGGGTCGCAGTAGTCTATACTGCATTTTATTAACACATACTGCCTCACGACTACAGGAAGAGGGGTGAAAATTAACAAGGGCAGCGCTCCCTCGACCACCATTCTAGCATCGAGATGCTTTCAGGGTGTCTAGCAAATTATTATTTTGAAGTTCCCTGACTTTTCCAGGCTTTCCCTGACAATTTCAGGTGAAATTCCCTGACCACTGTATGCTCTTATATATTTAACCGCCTCGGTTAAATATATAAGAGCATTACAGCACAAGGCAGTGAGCATTGAGCGCTGTGAAGATCATTTTGCACGGGCTTAATCCAACTTGCATATTCTGATATATTCGGGTTCGTCGATTTAGGATTAAATGAGCACTTTCTTGCCACCGACATCGTCAGTGAAGAGGCCACTTTCGGAAACACAATGAAGACACGGTCCTCAACCACACACGTTCATAACCAAATGGCAGCATGGCT